TGCCTCACACCTGACCACTCAGATGTCTGCTGTGTGAGTGACTGCCAGCAGTCGTGATGTAATACTCTTTCATGAAGGTGCATTTGTGGGCTTGCATACTGTATCGTTAGCAGAGGTTCTATCTAATATAAAAATATATTAGTTTACAAGATGTATTTTCACCACTTATAAGAGGTATCTTGAATGGAGAGGACCTGACTTAATTAGTTTCAGCCCATTTGGGCTTTATTAAGTTTGAATCTGGAGTAACACCGCGGTAAGAACTGGTCTGTAAGTAACGTAGGCAGTGCAGGAAGGGGGGTTGTTCAAGGTGCCTGGTGTTTTATGTTTTCATACATTCTGCAACAGGACAGAGTGAATTTTTACCCATCACTGGTAAATGCAGCACGTGTAATTTATGTTTGCATGAATCCTGCACATGCCCTACGGCTTCCTCTGTAGGACAGAATATGTTGTGGGACTTACAGAGGCAACGCTGAAGACAAGTCAGGGCTTTTCTGGCTTTGAGGGTTTGCACTGCTGGAGTAAAGTAACATGGCTCAGGGCGCATTTTCAGTGCGCTATTACTTTCCTATATGTATTAACATTCATTAGAATGCTTGCCTTGGTGTGGTTTGCCTAGAAGGTTACTTTTTTGGTCTTTCAGTTAATCAGTGTGGTTACACCTGAAATACCTTTCTCTTTTTACTGCCCCAGTCCATTACACACTACAACAACAATTCTCTTGCAGTCAGAGTTATTGTTACGTAATTCTGTCCCAAAGGAAGGAAAAATAAACCAAACGTGCTGAAGTCCAGTGCTACAGGAAACATGGCAAAAGTGCCAACCAGTTCTCTCTGGGAGGTACACTGCAGATGAAAGAAGAAAGATAGCCTATGGGCCTAGAATGGAAAGCCAGAGAACGATTGGGGTGTTTTTTTCCTCAGTTCTGTGACAAACTTCTTGTTTGGTCTTTGGCAAATACCTTAGAACCCATTTCTTGTGATGAAAACATCAGGGATTAGGTGCCTGAGCACCTTGGCCTCTTTTCATCCTGTTACCTCATGGAAGTGGGCCAAGCTTGAGCTGCTGCTAGTTACCCGCTAACTGTGCCAGTGTTGGTGAGTCCATGATTTATGCTGCAGTCATGGTGGCATGAGCTGGTTTTAACGAAGCGCTTTACCCTGAGTTGTGAATCTTATCACATCACAAAACAGTACTGTCTAATTTGCACCATTATGATTTGGAATTGTACTGAAGCTGTTCAGAGGACCCACCTTATATTTTTTATATCCATATTTTTCTCAAAGTCTGGTTTATCAACTTGAAAGGATCATTCTGGTCTGGGCTTGAATAATATTTGATGCTAGGATCCTTCAAAAATACTCTGCAGTGGCAAACGTCTGCTTTGAGGATTATTTTTCAACACTGTTAGGGTGCAGGTCCTATCATTTGGAATATACTGATGGCCTTCTGTTTATTATGTCTTTCACAGGGCATTTGAATGGAAGACAGGAACCTATTCACCAAACAGGTGAGGAGCAAAGATGGAGAACTTTATAGACTGAAGAGTGAATGAAAATGCCTGATAAGTGGTGTGCCTCTAATCTTTGCTGCTTCCTGTGTTTTACACGGTCTAAGACAGACAGGGGAAATGTGCTACTGTTTGGAACAGCTGGAAAGGCAGAGTGTCTGAGATGCTGCAGTTGCTAAGGGTTGCTACACATTAGGCTCCTTCTTTAGACAAAGCTAAAATTGTGCATAACATCTAATTTTGTGTAATGTTTTTATGAAACAAGTCTTGATTTTATTTTAAGCTCTGTTCTTAGGAAATTTTTGTGGCAGTGTGTTTATGCTTTATGCAGTTGTCTTGGACAACATTGTGATTTTTTTTAAGTAACAAGTGTTACATTAAACTTAGTATCTGAACTGCATTCAATGCATATTTTCCATTATTGAAAAGATAAAAGCTATTCTTAAATTAAAAACAACCACTGTGTATTGCCACATGCCTGTGCTACGAAGATAAAATATTTGGGAGTGGGATATAGAAATATTTTCTGCATCCCAGGGTGTAGAGTGGCATTTGAAGGATTTGATCTTAGCAGATGAAGGCAGAACTTAAGAGTTCTTTCAGTATCTGCTGTTCCTGTGCATCTGGAGAATGAGTTTTGTGGGGCTGTGGGTGCAACTACTTGACATTGGGGGAAATAAGAGATATCCTACTATGAGAGGCTTCAGGTGGACAAAGAGGCAGAGAATTGCTCAGCCAGGACCTCCCCACTTTCAATTTAAATCCATTACCCCTTGTCCTGTCACTACATGACGTGTATTAAGTTCTTTGCCTTCATCGTATTCCAAGCAGAAAACTAAACAAATAAATTAGAGTGTACTTGCTAAGGTTTTTCTTTTGCCTGATGAATTTGAGCAGACAAAAAATCCCAGAGCTTTTTCATTCAGGGACTTCCAGACACATGATACAAATGACTGATGAAACTTTTGTGTAGTGAATGTGTTACGTACTCACTGCTAAGTTGTAGCTTATAGTTTTTGGGGCATTTTTGGTGTGGGTGTTTTTTGGGGGTTTTTTTGGGGTGGTGGGGGGGTGGGGAAAGGGGTTGGGTTTTTGTTTGGTTTGGTTTTGGTTTGGTTTTTTTCCCCCAGACAGAACAAGTTCAGTTTTCACATATCTTTCTTGGGGCATAACCAATCCCATCCCGTTTGTAATAATTGTTGCTTTTTTGCAGACTTTTTAAATTTTCTGTAACTTATGAAATGTGCTGAACAAAACTAAATGCAAAATACACATGGATTATGAAATAACATAATATTCTGTCTTTTCTGCATTAATGCCTCAGAGGCAGAGCAAAAGGCAGTAGTCTGCACTTACTTTGAAACCATTCCTCCAGGAAGTAACAAGTATTTTAAAACCCCTATGTGGCTGAGTTGTCTTCAACAGTTCTTTGCAGTATGTTTCTTCACTTTTAAATTTCATCTCTTATTTTGCAGCTCACTTACTTTAGTACTAAATCCTCTAGATACTCTACTGTATTCTTCTTGTCTCCTAATAAATGCATTGATCATCTTGGTTTAAGAACCAAAAGTCTGATTGTTTCTGTGATGTGTGAAGGTGGGATAGAAAGCGAGTATCGTCTCCTAATGAAAAATAATCTTTTTGACTCTTGGAACATCAGTTTTCTTATATCGTCTTGGAGCCAGTGACTCCTTTGTACTCTGAACACTTGCACAGAAAATAGTGCGCTGCTGGGGCAGTGTCCCGACTGGCCTCCTGAAGATCTCACACATGAATAAACCAATCAGGGATTTACATTTCTGACGTGAGTCTTTGCTAGTATCTCTCCCTGTAAAGGAAAGTCCAGTGGACAATGACTAGCTGGAAGCATGGTTCTGTTTGAGCCCTACATTCCGTGTATGATCCTGACAGTCTCCTGAACTCTGGTGACTTGCTTGACGGGAGAGGGGAATATATCTGATCTCTTAATGGGACAGCTTAGAAGACTGCAATGATCAAACTCCCAATGAAATATACAGTGGCATTTTGCTGCCTCGTCAGGTTCTCTCTGGGAAACACCTGAATAATCTCTCATTTAACCAAGCAGTTAAAAAAACCCAAACCCAGTGAATGCCCATGTGCTTTTTCTGCTTCTCTAATCCCAGCTTGTCTGCAGCTCCTTGAGATATTAATTGAACCAATATTAACTATGTTCCCGAATTCTGGGAGAAGCTATTTTAATCTGTCAGCACACAGAAAATAGAAATTTAAGCTTACTCTTTGCATTCTTTTTGCAAGGCCAGTTGCTAATCCATGAGATAGCTTTCCACTAAAATATCCTTTGCTGCTTTCTTACTTTCAAAAGGCTTTAAAGATTATTTAAGATGTTTAAATATATTGCATTTGGGGACATTTTTGTTTGGTTGGCTTTTGTTTACATTTTTTCAGGAATCCTGAACAGCTCAGTAAGAACAACACAGCAGCAGAGCTGTTCTGGCCCTCTCTCTTGCTCTTAACTATTTTTATAACCACCAAGTTAATGCCTACTATTAATCCTTAGCTACTCTACTGAGCACCTGCAGCCACCTAGGACTAACTCTTAATAGGAGATTACAGGTTTTCTGCAGTTTACCTGCTTCATTCTAAAGCTCCTTCTAAGCCCTGCAGGGAAAGCTAAGTCCCATTCTCCCTCTACCAGTCTCCACTGCAGTTTAAATACAGTCTCTATGGCTTTTCTTGTTGTCTTAAACATTCCTGTCTTAGACATCGAGTAAAAAAGGAGAGAGGAGAGTCTGAAATACAAGCCATAATAGGTCTGAAATAGGAATGTAGGCTTTGAGAGGCCACAGAGCATGGAGGCTTTGGGAATGTGCTGTTCACAAAGAGACACCACAGCTCACAAGCATTGTGTTTTCCCTGTGTGTGTGCAGCAGTGCTGACATCATTGGACTTTGACTCCCTGCAGGGTAGCAGAAGGTCCGTTTGACCTGGAAGCATGGTGCCTGTGAGGGCCTGCGAAAGGCCTTATTGGGTCAGTAGCTGTAATCTCCAGCTGTGTCTGGCAGCCATGTCACAGCCCCTTTCATAAACTGGTCAAGTCCATTCTAAAGCAGCCTGTTTTCTGATCCTCTCCTCATCCTTCAATAGAAGAACTAATCCTGAACCTTTCTGCTTTGACTATTAAAAATCTTGTTGTGATTCTTAGCCTAAGTTTATTCCCAGTCAGACTGTAATGCTTATTTGTGAATCCATTTGACCTTTAATGAACCAGCTTTTTCCATAACCAGTGTTTATCCCACTGACGTGTTTCTCAAGAAGTCATGTTTTCACAGCCTCTAGGCCAAGACAAGCTCTTCTTGTCTTCCCAAATAGGCCGCACATGTCCTGGGGTACTCTAGCTGGTCTCCTCTTTGCTGTTTGAATTTATTGTGGTTCTCTAGGAATGGACAGAGTTTGTATTGAGGTACTTTTTATTTGTTACTCTATTTTCAAAGGACCGAGGCATATGTCAGTTAAAGAAATAAAAAGCATTGAAACCACAGAATTTATGTCTCTTTCTCTCAGTAACGTTATTTCTGATGTCTTTTGTCTCTCCTCTTAACGGAATCATGAGAACAGTTTTGTACTGCTGTGGTAGAGAAGGAATGCTGTAGCTCCAGGAGTGCTGCCTGGCACTGAGGAACCTCGCAGCTAGGGATCCATTCAGACAGTGCTGTCTCTTTTGGCCCATCGTCTGGTCTCCATGCAGGCTGACATGCTTCTTGATGCCAAAGCTTGTGCACCAAATTCTTTCCTCACTCTTTACATCCAATGTAAGTCTGCTTTACTTAGGCTAACTGGGGTTTCCCCATACTCTGTGTTGATCCTATTGTTTGGACTTGAAGTCTTTGTAGGAAAAGGAACATCCAGATTTTGGAAGGGATTCGAGTTCAGGCCTTCCTGAAAGCTGCCCCCTGTTTTTCTAGCCGGAGTTAAACCGTGACAACAATGCTTCTGTTTGCAATGTGCCAGTGATCCTCTGAAATTTGTTTATTGGCAGCCCTGTATCCAGATGATGAACTTTTGGTCACATGTGTGAGTCAGAGCAGCCTGCTCTCAGCTCATATCCCTTCCTGGTCTGTGCTTTCTGTCACTTTACGCTGCCGACCAAGACTGGGCATTGTTTTTATTCTACTCAGCATTGTGTCTCAGTAGCTGGCTACAACAGTAGGAACTCCGCATAAAGGTGGAGGCATCTGACCCAGTGCTGGAATACCATTACCCTGTATTAATCATTTGTACCGATGAGGCTTCAGGTACTGGTGCAGAGTCAAAGCTGCATTGTACAGGAACTGTTAGAACATAAAGTACATTTCAGTCCTACAGCTAAAGAGTGGACTTCAGCCGTTACTGTGCTGAACAATCTGAGTGTTTCACGTTTAATGTATATATGGTTTAAGTGGAATAATGTTGTTCCCCTAAATCAGCATGACCCAGGGAAGGCCTCTGCCAATTACACTTCAGAAGCCAGAGGGCAATAAAAATGGTCAGTTTTGAATTAATGTAAGCTGACAGTTTGTATTTTCATTTCCAGAGACCACCTGTTGAAACTGTTTTTTAGAGTGTTCATCATCATAAAGGGAAACATTCGTTTCATCTCCACACTGGAGAAAAAGCTAGGCAGCTTTTCCATTTCAGGTACAGGGATTCAGCTATCAGAAATTCGTAAATGCTGTTTCAAAAGGGATTTCCTTACTTTGTTTTTTTGTTGTTGTTGTCGTGTCCCGTCCCCCGTCCCCCCTCCCCCATCCAATAGGAAAAAAGCAGGAGAATTCAGGAACTTTTTATCCAGGGACATTTTTAGACTATTGAGAGAATGACAGCATCTTACTTAGTTGCCCTGTTTCTTGTATGTCTGTCTGTGCAGTTTGAACCTGTAAGTGCTGTAAAGCCAGCAGTACTGTGGAAGGGTGAGCAGGAATCCAGTTCTGTTTTACCCACAGAATTGCTTACTCAGAATAAATTAAATGTGTGCATGTACTCTGCATGACAATATGCAGGTGACACTGAATGGCTTCAGCCCTTACAGGTAACAGTGCATTAGCAAAGAGCAGCTAAACTTGATTTGCTATGCGTATATACCATGCTATGCTTTGTTTGCATGAGTAGCATTTAATACAAATAGTATCTTTTCACTTTTATACAGGCCACACAGAGTATAATTGTTGAGGACAATACAAATGGAGTTTTCCAGTATAGTTTATAATTCCTTAGAGTAAATCTGTGCATTAAAATAGAATCTGATAATGTTACTTATGCACCCTTAAGGAAGAAAGGCAAATCACTCACATAAATGGAGGAGGATGAATCATAGAAACTTTGCCAATTTAAACTGGTGTAGTTAGTAAGGAAGTAGTAGTCTGCAACAGGTTACTTATCAAATACACAATGTGCAATACAGTGAGTTGATGAGTCCAAGTGAGGTCATCCTGATGAACACCAGTGAACATCTAGCCGATACGTTTCAGTCTCTGTACCATTCACATGAGAGCTGCCAACTCCTTTTATAGAGACTGTTACTCATACTTCTCAAGGCTAAAGGTCGTTTGAATTGCTGTCATGAGTTAGTGGCAACTTTAAATGATAAGATAAAAAATAAGCAGATAATCGCCATAACTTTCTCCCCTGCAAACCCTGAACAAGTCATTAATCCATTACAGAGGTACAGTCAACCAGCCATGTCAGGACTGATTTAGTACACTGAACTTTTGCCTCTGTTTTAGAGTGAGCCTTGCCCTCTGCTCAAACATTATCAAAGGGAAGGCTTAATTCCACTAGCTGCATCTGCTAATACTCTTGCCAGTATTACTTGTGGTAAAAGCATGAGTTTCTTAGTAAATACGGTACTTACTCGTTCCACATCTTCACCTAGTTCTCCAGCTGATCTGCCAACGGCTTTCATGTAATAGTTATCCAGAATAAAGGGATTCATAGGACCTATCTTTCTTAATGGAAACCTATTTTATTGTCACACATTTTTATTGATTAGGAAAATCAACATTAATGCTCAGTCCCCCTGAAAAAAACTCAGATAATTTACAGTTTGTGTGTTTTTTGTTACTAAATGACAAAAACTGGATTTCGTTGAGAAATTTAGGGGCTCATTTACTGCTATCCCAAGAAAATTAACTTTACAAAATGCTTACCTGTGAAGTTCTGACTTTATGTTGTGATCCTCAGAGCCCTTTGAGTGTTTTGTAGCATATTGGTTGTTCTTGGAGAAAGGTTATATTGTAGCTCATTAGAAGAGGAGTTGGGGGCCACTATCTTTGGTGGATTTGGATTGTATATTTGACCCTTCAGCAAATTTAGGAAGCTGAAGGTTAAGAAGAATAGGTGAGAGAGAAACCAAATATATGTGCTGAGTGGAAAAGCCTGTTTTAAAGGTTTAAGATAAGATGTTGTGTCACCCTCCTCCAATTATCTGTTTAGTAAATGCTAATAAAAGTAAAAATGTGTTGGGAAAATGTCTTCAGTACAGTATTGCTGCTCAAGTAGAAGATTCAACAGCTACATAATTCAGCTGAACTCAAGTCCAATAACTTAGAATTAAGTCCTCCATGTAGCCACACATAGTAGGCACAACATTACAAGCTTGTGTTTGTAGTCACAATTATAGACTTCCTTAAAATGGATGCCTGCTTATTGTTTCCCTTGCCACATCCGTAAGATTGTGTGTCTACAAAGCCTGTATCTTTCTTTGTTCAGTGCTATTTTTTCCTTCCTACACTATCCATGACTTTTAGATGTCATCAAACTTCAGGCTACATCCCTTTGGGAAGAGGACTAGTGTTTAGCCAAGCTGAAGAATAGCAGAAACATGATAATTCATGGACAATTTCATTCTTCTGTTTTATGCACCAGCCCGGTCTCTGTCATTACACTGGAGAAGGCAAGGTGGAGTCAAAGACCATCCACAAGGAGGACATCTGTTTTCTTGAAGAGTTGGAAATAGAGACACCAGCCTGTCAGTATGTGGACAGGACTTACAGAGATTTAAGGAGAAGCAAAGATCTGCTGCTGCCCAAACCCATTTATTTGAAGGGCTGCAGAAAGTAATATGGGCTTCTGAATGAAGCCTCCTCTCCCCCTTATGTATGGTCAGTAGCTATTACTCCTTGTTCTTATCTCTGGAGCTACTTGGCTATGTCCTATGAGAGCTAGTTAGTAATTGGACTTCAGCCACCAGACAGCCTGCTAGCTTCTGATCTTGTTTATGTATTGCTGGGGTGATTTAAAACTGTCTCTAAAGCCTCTTGCTCTTTGTATGCATGATGCCTAATTCATGTTCTGCAAGTGTTTGGTACAGTAGCATTGTACTTCTTTCTCTATGAACTACGTACTTTAAAGTATCTGTGCTGTTCCAGCCGGTGCACAGCCACCTTCTGGGAGTCAGAGGGAATACAGACAACTTCATGCCTATATGGATTACGTACAGGGGAAATATTTGACATGTTCTTATGGAACACCTTTGATCAGAATGACAGATGGGTCTGCATTTTAAGCTATAGATGTATGCTCACTATAAGGACAGCTGTGCTGTTGGAAGAGGTTCTCTCTGTGAGCTGCTGCTAATGTTTCTTCTACCCTGAGAGGCTGACCTCATAGATCTGCAGACAGAACTCATCTTCACTCTTTCAGTACAACATCAGCCAGGTTAGATCAGATCACCCATTTAATCAGGGTAAGTTAACCCAGGTGTCTTTTTGGAAGCACTCAACATCGTTATCTGCACCAGCAGAGCTGCAAGGCTAGTGGTCTCAGGCAGAGAGGAGGTAACAAGCAGCTGAGGGCTGGATCTTATACCAGATTAAGTTGCCACCGCAGAAGGCCATCTACCCATGGGCAATGGCTGGAGCTCTGGATTGATTCACACACTAGCAAGGAAGGTTATTAATACATTTCTGTGCATGATTTTTACGAACAGCAACAACAAACAGTAAAGCTTGATGAATTGTGAAGTTGGCTCTGTACTCATAATGCTGCCATCAGAGGAATACTGAGTTCTACTAGATATCTTGTAAAAATGAAACTGCAGTGCATGCTGGAAAGAGCTTAATTTCCAACCCTGGTTCTATCACTGTTTTTTCTTTTCGGTCTTTCTGCCTCTGTTTGCCTATTTGCCTTGCAGTGATGCTGTCAGCATTAACTACATAATAACTACTCTGAGTTTTGTAGGGGTGAGATGTAGAAAAGGCACAAAGCTTTTAAATACAACCTTCCAGTGGTAGAAGTCTCCTGAGTGTGGTCTGGATTATCTGTACTTAACCAGAGATTTCTCCTTCAGTCACTGAGAACTGGAATGTCCTGATCTCAGAGGAAGTCAAATCATAGGGAGGGAACATCAAATGAAGTTAAAGTATTTTCTAAGTGCCAGTGGTAGCTGGCCTCTTAGCTAGTAATTCTGAACCTGCTAAGCTTTGCTGGAAATAGGTCTTGGACTGCAATGATCCTCTTGTTGTGCAAAAATAGTCTTTGTAAACCCACCTCCATGCGAGATTAGTGTTCCTTAAATTGACCAATGATCAGTGAAAACTGACTAAAAATTACTACTCCTGACATTATGTATTCTGTGAAAAGATTTTGGGTTTGGATGGGCAAACACACTAAAAATGGCTCGTGCACCCAATTATGGGCATAACTGTACAGCACTGTGCCAATGACTGGGAATGACAGCTAATTCATGCAAATTGACCTCCTACTTAACATTATCAGCTTTTACTCTGCTGAAAAGCTTCTTAACCATGCCAAGGTATACTTTTTCTGTTTCACACAATTATTGCAAACCCTTCCTGACAAGCACTGCCATGTCACGCAGAGGTGTTGGCTTTCTCTTGTCCCAAATTCCTCATAACCATGTGTAGTCAGCAACTGCTAAGGACTCCTCAATCAGTTCATGTGGGTGGTCTTTAAAGTCTTCCAAAGTGAAGTACCTGTCAAAATCCCAATGTAGGAAAATGCCTGCAGGGAAAACCAGAATAAGAACAGGCAGGCATTACTTTGGCCCCAAAATTGCTAGTTCTTTATCCCACTGTTGCATTTTTTTCCTTTGTCTTCTGTTCTATTGGACTGTAAAGAATTATTTATCTGACAAAAGATATCAAATAAACTACATGCATCTTGCTTTTGTGGGGATTAGCAGTTAACAACTCTGTTGGCTTCTGAGGCTACAGGATGCTCACATGAGTTGGGTTTATTCATCATTCTCAGTGCTGAGGCTCTAATTTAAGACAAGATGCTTGTGCTGTCTTACCTCTGGTCTTCCTCAGAACACTCACATCAAAAGCACTGGTAAGGATATTGGGATGGAAAGGCTGATGGCTGCTTGCACTGATCCCTGCGTCTTGATCCTCAGGTGATCTGAAGTTTGGGAACATGGCATACCTAGAGATGGTGTGTTTGGTAGGGATGAGAGGGGGGAAATGGCAGACACAGTGGTCTTAGGTTGGTTTGAGTTGGCAGGAAGAAGGACAGAAAGCAAATTTCCTTATTTCACATTTTGCAGAGTTTTAACATTAAATATAACACTTTGCACGAAGTGGGAGAGATGTGAGAATCAGAAAGGTGTTATCTTAATTCTTTAATCCCCTCTTGCTTGCACCCTACAAAGAATTCACAGTGTGATTCCCTTGCAGCTTTTGTACACAATCAGTCATACCAATTCACACTTTTAGGTGGCTTATTGGAAGGAAAATGTGGACCTCTGATTCTTGCACAGCTCCAATTAATGGTAACTGAGTTTGTACTTGTAAAATCAAAATTTGCCTCAAAGACGACGTTTATTTCTGTGAGGAAGGATGATAAAGCTGAACTGGAGAGTTTTATGGGCTACTGAGGAGTGGGATTTCATGGAGTGCTCATGTGCCTATGGCTGTTCTTTTTAACTTTCAGTTTTTCATGCAAAAATAATTTAAAAACTTACTAAAATCAGGGGAATCTTCCGAGGGAAATGAAAGCAGTGGTTTGTTCCAGTAAGAGAGACTAGCACTGCGTTTGGATTCTTCTAAACTTGACCACAACTGCTTACAGCAGCTTACTGAGAGCAAACACCTTTCCCCAGTTACTGCATAAAGCTAAGGCACATCCTTTTACAGGAGCCAAACCTATTCCATTCCTGAGGCTGTGCATCATGACATAATGAGATGTCTTACCAAGCTGGGCTTTTCTGAGGCTTTCCTCTCATAAATCTGCTTTATACATAGTTTAGATCCCTTAGCTGTGCTTGGTAGATGCTCCCAAGCACTTACATTCACATTAGGTGAAGAGGCCATGAAAAATACAGCCAAGAAAACCCAATTAGCCCACAGGCAAGTCAACAAGATCAGTATTTGTTAGGAGAGTGGGTGTGCCAGGCACACACTGCTAACCTGCTAAACCTATCATTGCAGGCTTTATTCAAGAGAGTTTGGTTTTGCCTAGCAGCATTGCTGCTGCTGTTGCTGAGGAACTTGCACTGTGCAATTATGGCTGTAAGAAAAACTTGCCTTTTTATTTCATTAAGGAAAGATGAGATATAATATAGTTGAAATATATTTACTTAGCCACAACATCTGGTGGTTTATGAAGCCAGTATTAGGGAAGAAAAATAATAAATAAGTTACCTGAAGTGACCCCTGTTCATTTGTACCTCCCACATTTTATCTGAATCAGTGCAATCAATGTATGTTAGGGACAAATCAATGTGTAAGCAGTGCAGACAATATTCTTGCTGATACCACTAATTCCATGAGGAATGTTTGTGTTGCCAGGTGCCAAAGACTGAAAAGACTCTGGGAACAAGTGATGTGCAGAATATCTTTTTAGAAGGAGTGAGGGAAAAATCTATCCTCACACTTCTGTATAATAAGCTCTGTATTAATTAACAATAGTATGTGCTGTTAGTAAAAATAAAACCTTTTATCAGTAATGCAAACCAGAAAACATATCCTTTTTCTACTTGCAGAGAAAATATTTATTCCATGCTGATAAAATATTTATATTTTACCATGGAAACTTATTTTATGCTTCAAATAAATTTTAAAATATCAATCAAAAGAAAACACTAATTTAAAGGGCAAGAATTTGATCACTGATGCTAGCAAGGAATCTCTTGGCAGTTGTACAAAGTCAGAAAAATGTCTAAGATTTAAAAATCTATTAATTTGCTTAATCGTTCTTTGGGGTATAATAATAATTTTTAAAAATGCCTGAAAGACAGTAATACTGGACTAATCTAAGTGGTTCACCTGGGGCTCCAAAGTCCTGTGTGTTTCATAAGGCTTAATTACCAGGTTTGGCTTGAAAGGGTCTTTTCCATATATGAGTAGGAGAGGTTGTCTGATGATAGTCTTCTTTTAAGCTTTATTATTTGTACAGTGATCACACAATGTTTCTTGATTGTATGAGCCATATACCAAAATCTTCATATTGCCAAAACCTCTCATTTTCTCAGTGAGGGAAGGATATCCCAGATTCATTCCCAAACAGGAGATGATGACAATCTCTCAGGGCTCCTCCCCTTGCTCATTTTGAGGACAGAGCTACGCGAGATGTTAATGGGCTCCATGCAGACTCCATCATTTCAGCCTTAGCAGTTCCTCTGGGAACTCTCTTCCTCACACAGGTTGGGGGTTACTCAGCAGCCTGGTTAATGACGTAGCTGTGGTAAAGGAGTTGAACCTGAGGTCTTTACAGGTTACCTGTGGCTCAAGAGCTGCAACTTGGCCACTCCATCAGTCAATTAGTCTCCATACAGGTAGGGGTTACACAATTACAAAGACAGACATGTCCCCTTGTTCAAAGAATTTAAATACAGTCCTGTGCCTATTTCTTTCTGTACTGGGATGAGTGTTTTGAAGATAAACTTCAAGTGCAAGATCAATTTTGTTCACAGGTTCTGATACAACATGCAGAAGTCATGGATTTCATTGTGAAATCTGTGCTGTGTTGCCATAAGACTCAGTGGAATCAACATGAGGTGTGATATCTCACAAGTTAGTGTGACAGCATAGCTCATGCCTCAGCTGAGCTGAACAAAAGATCTACTTTTTATGTGTGATTCTACAAAGTGTTGGATTCTGACAACCATTTGTATATTGTTACATTTATAACGACCTGGGACTCTGATTCAAATTTTGTGTCTGTCTTGAAAATGGAAAGCTTTTACAGAAATAGCCATACTTACACAACAGCAATCTTTAAAATTTATTCCACAGATACTTCTAATTGATTTTCCATTTCTACAGTTAGAACTGGTGCTGTATGTCTACTGGTGCTATAGACATGAAGGAAAATACTTCCTAGTATTTATTTTCAACTGTATTACAATTGTAACACAGTGTGAATTCAAAACAAGCCCTAAGAAGTATTTTCAATTTCCATTCACAATGTGCTACATTCACACTGTGATTTGTTACATTCTTCATTGCATTCATTGGACGTATTACTGATACAAATACCCAAAAATAAGAACAGTCAGTCTGCCTTGTGCTCTGGCACGGCTGAACTACTTAAGTGCCTTTGTAGTGCACGTTTCGTTATAATATCTAAACTGAAGGTAGCAATAAAATACGGATGAACATGCATCTTCATGATCCTGCCATGATGTAGGGAAGCTTTGTGAGCTCAGGTTGTAACAGCCAGCAAAGCTTTGCATTTTCAAAGGTTGACAGATGTTTAGAGTGTTTCTTATATTTTTAAAACTCAAACTGGGTAACGAAACCTGAAGCCACCCAGAATGGATGGAAGTATAGAAAAGTAGAGCTCTGGTTGGAAAGGAAGAAAGGAATAGCAGCTTTTCCAACTTTGGCACTGAGATGCTTTCACTGGAGTTCTAATAGACTTTTGCTGGAATCTGCCAGTATCACACAAGAAAGAGTTGCTAAGTATTATGTTATCTGCCCCGTTATGTTCAGTCCACAGAGGATATGGAGCCCATCAGTCTCCTGAAAAGAAGTCAGACTCAAGCTGGAGGGACTTATGCTTCCAGTTTGGAAAGCCTCAGAGCAAATCCAGAGAGCGGTTAATCCCATTTCTCTAGCAATGAGTGCACTGTGGGCAGTCTTCAAACTGTTTCTGATAAAACAGACATAAACCAAATTTCATGTGAGAGAGGGTATTCTTACAGAAACACTGGCCTCAGCTGCAGTAGTTCTGTGACTCCCCTCCTGATGCAGTGCTGAGCACTGGGTGCAGGCACACACTTGTTCAGTAATGGTAATAAAGGACACTTTGCAACCTGTGTGACCTTCATGAAGACCTCCCACTTTCCACTATTTTTATACTCTCCGACACATGGTAGGAGCCTCTGAAGAGTTGTTTCTTCTCTCAGGTGTGGTGTTGTGTGCAGTGAGTGATGAAGTGTGGGGAGCTTCATGGCCTTCAGCTACCCTAGATCAGGCCAGAGAACCTTTTGCTGCTCTTTCCTGTTAATTTCCCATGTACTCAGTAAATTATTAAGAGAACAAGATGTATCACTCTGGCCAATTTTAACAGGAAGGAAATTATGACCGGAGAATAAAATGTTTCACATGTGTAAATTTGCTTTCTCCATAGCCCTTTATTCTGTCAAAGGGTGGCAATCACTTATCTTGCCTAACCTTAAAACCTGCTTGGTCAGGGAACCACCGGGGTTCATGGAGCTGGGTGACAGCCAGAGGAATGGAGGTGATGTGTGGCATGATAAACATTGTAAGCAGATTAGAACTCACATGGAAACAGACAGTTTTCATTCATTCATTCCATGCTGTCACTGAACCCACCAAAAACCTCATTAGTGTGACTTGTTTTTGTTAGGATAGCTGCAAATGCTGTAGCCTAATGTAGAGTGTGCGTGTGTATAACTAGGTTCTTGGCAATGGCTGAAGGGTGTTTTCCAAGGCTCTTTCTCTTGTTTGATGTGAACTTGAGGATTCATTACACCTTTAATAGGAAGAGGCAACTACTTTTCTCCAGTACATTTGACTGGGAGGATTTATGTGTGTGGCCCACTGCTAATGCACTTACAAAAGCACATCTGCGCAAACCCAGCGATTCATTCTAGTGCAAAACTGCACAAGAATACATAGTGCACATAGTTAAGGCAAGGCATAGTTGTCCCATGAAAGCATGCAGAGTTATTGCAAATGCCTGGTAATTCATTTCCCACAAAAGACAGTAATGGCTCAAAGGAGCCCTCACAGGCTATAAGGTAAATAAACTGAGTGTTAATAGCTCCCAGGTAGGCCTGCAGAGCACCACTCAGAGGGTATTTTTCAGGAAAGGTTCCATGTGGCTGTCACTGCTTAATAGTCCCTGACAGCAGGAAGAGTATTTGCTCTGAAAGACCTTGGACTATGACGTGGAAGATTTTTTTTTTCCTGGTGTGTTTCACTTTTTCTTTCAAAGGATATATTCTTTCCTTCAATTTAAAAGTCTTTCAAAGACTGAGAAAATACGTTATAGGAAAACACCAAACTAGGACAGAGCATAAGCCATAACATATTTTGAGAGACCCAGCATGTTGCAGGTTAAATGTGAGTGCAAAATAATGGAGAAAATATATCAACGTGTTGTTGATCAAATATTCAGAGTCCAAGGTCATGTACTTTTCAGTATGTACGGGGCCAGAGTTTGATCTACTCCTGTGTAAAACCTCCTTCCTCCTTATACAGCTGCACAAGGACAGAGTCACAGCAGTCCCTGGCTGCTTCCTCTTAAGGAAGGAAATCCTCAGAAAGGTGCTGTGGTCGCTACCTCAGCCTGTGTACATGGATGATCCATTCTGGTGAGCACCTGTCACAACAAATGCTCTTGCTATGAAGTGAATGGGTCCCAGAGCATCCTTAACCAAGAAACATTTGAAGCTGGTCAGCCTAGGAATTTCTGAAAACACAGCAGGCCTCCTACCCCAAGCAAAGCACAGTTTTTAACTTTACTCCACAATTTGCCTGTTTCTGCTCTTTGAGGGTTACCAGTATGAATGTCACATAACAGGACACTTATTTGACTAGCAAGTCATACTCAACCAGATTATTTCCAGCATCATTCCATTGCAGTCAATGGAGTTTTCTTAGGGATTGATTAGGTAATAAAACAGAACCACCCAACTTGACTGTGCAACAAGAGAGTGCCCACTTTGCATGGATGTTGGGTTTTAAAACAACTTTTAAAGTGCTCCATTACCTTACAGAAGTGCATGGGCCAGTTCTTGTCACTTAGTGCTTAGAAAACTTATAGGAAGAAACTTGCAGGGAAACTCGCTGGTTCCTTGCAGCTTGTAATCAAATTCTGCAGAAGCAGCACAGCCAATGCCTCTGATGTGCATTGCTGGTCAAAGGCCGCGAGCTGTCCCAGTAAAAAGGAGTTTCAGTTTGTATACCCTTGTAGGTAACCACACTTCTGCTTGTGCTGCATGCTGTAATGAGGTAATAAAGAGAGAAGCCTGCAAAAGCAGTGGATGACAAAGAGCTGGGTTGCAGGTTTCCTTATGTAGCTTCTGTGGCGTGCTTACAATTAGCTCTCCTGCTTTTCTGCAGCGTCTGAGTTTAAACAAAATGGGGAGCACGTACCTCACATTCAGGGAGGCTAAATGGCGAGTGAACCCAGCACATGGGGCCAAACAATGCACCTCACTGCCCTATAAAGATAACTGAGAAGTCATTGTGGAATTATTCTCAGGTGTCTAATATGCTCTAGTTATTAATGCTAATAGGAAAGGCGAAACTTGTTAATTTTCTGCCTTCGAAGAATTTACATTTACACTTTAAATTACCTTAATCTAAAATCTCAGTAGTTTGATCAAATTTAACGTTTTGCTGTTGCCATCAAGTGGCAAAATGTTGGATTGCAGAACCCCAGCGGCAGCCAGATTCACTCAGTCTGATGTATCTGGCACAGCAGTAGTGAGAAAAAGAATCTTTGCCAAGCCTCCTCCAAAAATATATCTCTCTATATATACACTCCAGAAAAATGGACTGAAATACACATGGTGTCATGGTTACTTCAGTTACTTCACTTTAATCTGGATTCTAACTAGTTGAAAGGCTAATATTTTTGAGTATTAAAAGTTGATAAATACGGACAACCTGTAAAGCAAACTCAGAGACACTTGTTGAAGAAATTCCAAACTGAAGGGTTACAATGCTATATTCTGAATTTCATCCCCAACTGTGTTTGCTCTCTTTTGTTACTAGCTAATGTCTTTTTACAGGACACGGCCCTTCAGATGCCATATCATGTCTGCACTTCATATCATATGTGCATAATACCACCAGAGAGGGATGAATATTCAGTTTGCTATTACATTCACTAAATTTGCAGTCTGGTTAATGCACAGCTTAAATTTACAGTTCATAATTTATACACCTATCACTTTCTTCAGTTGGGTAACACAGTACTGCTCAGTGGGAAGGCCTCTGTGCAAAGAGAAAACAAATGTAGACAAGTTATGGTCTATTTGCTTATAAAAATTCAAGTAATTTGGTACATTTTTGTCTTGATTTCTCAGATAAGCCTTAATATCAAAACTCTTAGGTACTGCTAGTTTGTAAATCTATCCTCAGCTTTAAAATCTAAGTCCTGCAGGGCTGGATTTTGAGTGGTGCTGAGCACATGTGCCTGAATCCCAAGTTCCTGAGAACACTGAGCATTTCCCTCTCTGGAGGCCTGGCCCTTATAGCCCCTGGAATTCCATTCACCATAGGATGAACTGCATGAAGGGAAGTTCAGGTCGGACATTAGGAAAGGGTTCTTTACTGAGAGGGAGGTCAGTCACTGCAACAGGGTCCCCAGGGAAGTGATCATGTCAGAGTTCAAGGAGCATCTAGATGACACTCAGTCATATTGTTTACTTTTAGGTAGTTCTGCAAGGAGCAGGGAGTTGGACTTGATGATCCATATGGGTCCCTTCCAACTGTTCCATGATTCTGTGGTCATTTTACAGGTAGGCTAGATCATGATAACACAGAGCAAGGACAGGAGGGCATCTTTCCAGTCTTTGTGTCGTGTTTTAACCCTTGGACAGCCAAGCAGATACCTAGTCTGCATCTTCCATTCCTGTTCCCTAGGGAAGCCTGCAGGGCTGAAGGCTATCCTTCAACTTCTCCAAGTCAGTCCTGAGCAGCAGCATGTTGTGCCTTCAAAACTTTCCTGTAAGTCAGTAATGGTGATTTGAAACCTACCTGAATGTCTCAACAGTAGGGATTTGGCATCATCATTTGCCTATCTATCAGCTAGTCAGTCCTTTTTTGTTTTGTTTCATTTTGACCAATGCCATCATGATGGACAAGAAGTTTTGGAATCGGTTTCAGAGGAAGTGGCACCAACCCAAATGTATTCTAAGGAAGAAATTGCTTGTGGTAAGGGTCTAGGAAAAGGAGCCCTGACTCATAAAGCATATCCCAGAGCTCTTCCCTTCAGCTGTTGTCTAGATAGATCTCTTCTTTTCCAACAGCTCTCTGAAAAAGCTGAGCACTGACTTTTCACGTTTATGCCTATGGGATTTGTGGATGCTGAGCATCAGTGTGATTTAGGCGAGTAGTGACATTTTTAAGGTCAGGAAGGGTGTTTTCGGACAACAGCCAACACTAAATAATTCCCAAATGATGGGCAAAAATTAAATATGATCATTTTTACTTTAAGCGTTTCAGCAAAACACTGCACAGACATTTGTGGCAACAAATATATTCCCACATTAATCTTTAGGCCAATGTGAAAAGGGTAGAAGCTTAAATTGCCTGGTTTTGGAATGCAGGTATTTGCATGTCTTGGTCTACTTTGCTGTCTAACCTGTTAGCTGTCTGTTGCTGTTCTTGTTAAAACCCCATCACTTAAACATTTTGATTGTGAGAAGTCTTTGTCTAGTCTACCTCGGCAAAGGCTCTACACCACCACCATAATGTTCATGTCCTTTAACCAATGTACATGGAGACTTGTCCTTTATCCTGTGGTCTTCTGGCAATACAGGTAGTGCAATTCCTCCATGCTCCCTTTCTGCTCCCCAGGGAATCTTGCAACAGTGAAAGGACTCCTTGAATTCCTTATATCTGAAAGAAAAACAAACAAACAAACAAAAAAACCCCAAAAAACCCCAAAACCAACCCAGAATGTCCTTTAATGGAAGCAACAGTGATGGTTACTTGAAATCTTTTAAACAGTGACAACGTAACTTTATTTCCTTGGCTCTTGAGTTACTCAGTCTTATTCTGGGTAATGCTGTTATGGAGAACTGGCACTAGGAGAGGTACGTACAATGGTGATTGGCAATTGTTTAATGAAGGGTGAACCCAATCTATTATGTTTTGATCAGTGTAAGGAAGAAGGAAGCTGCTAGATACCTGCAGCTGTACATCTCACAGTTTAATCGAGTCTCAGCTGCCAGCACGCAGATCCCTGCGCTGTCCCTTCAGTACTTCAGTACTACGCAGTTGGCATATGGACAGCAAATATATGCAGACGCAGGCGGCATATGGACAGCAAATATATGCAGTGGTGCAGATGGAAGCTTTAGCATCTAATTCCCACTGATTTGAGATCTGTTATTTGTGCCTTTGAAAACCTCCCCTCTCCATCCCTAGAGAGGTGGGAAATGTTACTATTCAGTAGCTGTAATTTGCAGTGAATGCAAGCTGTGTCAGGCACTTCCTATGGATGTGCTAATGGGTGAGGGTATTCAGTACTTTTCCATACATCAATGTTATTTGAAATCACGCAGATGCATGTTCACCTCAGATAGTTTTAGTTTAGACTGTTGTAAAGATGGACACCAAACTCAGTGAAAATGTAAAGCTTCCTTTTCTTTTCGGGTGGCAGCAGTTTTCCAGTCAGAACACATATACAGCCAACCGTCTTATTAAAGAGATAAGTCCTGCGAGGAGCAGGGAGTTGGACTTGATGATCCTTATGGGTCCCTTACAACTTGAGATATTCTACGATTTTGTAAGAGCCAAAGTGAGTGATTTAAATTTGGCCTAGAAGTCCAGGATTTTCTGAAAACCTTATCAGAGAAGTAATAAACTGTTGTGGTATGTGACAGGAGTGGTCCCCCTTGGGATATTTTATTGGTGTGCTGTCTTCATTCATATGAACCCAGACAGAGTGATGCCTAGGTGAATGGGTTTGGAACCAGCAGCCATGTCTGTGTTTGTTGTCAGCCTTTCCATCACTGAGTGTCCCCTATTCTTGCTTTAGCTAGACCTAAAGCAAGAATACTACCTCTTTTTCTGGTATTGGGTGTTTTGTTACTGATCAGTGAAGAAGCAGGACATGGCTACAGACCAGTAGGACTGCATTTGTTGACTGTGGAATTGCCACTGCACTGCTATCACAGCCCAGGATGTGGTGAATCATGCAGATATTCCAACTCACTCCCAATTACCATGGGTTTCTCTGCCTTGTGCTCCAAAGTATGGTGTTGCTCTAGGTTTCTGTATGTGTGATTCCTGATGGAGTAAGGTGTACCAGCTAAAGAAATTCTTGTTTAAGCAGAGGTGTTATTAATCTTTCCTAGTGTTGATCATTACATTAGAGGAGAGGTTGTTTTATAAAGCTATACTGGGAAAAAGTTCCACTCTGCAGGTACTAGCTAGACTCAGGCTTATAATGATTTTCAGGTGTAAGTTTCCCCTAATTCTAACTTCATTTTATATTGATTCAAAAGTAGGATAACATCCCTGTCCCACGTCTCCTAAAATGTTAGGGGAAATAGGCTCGTTATTATGTAGCTGTGAGCATTTCATTGAGCATACCCTTCACTGTGATTATAGACTTTTAAGGAAGAAAATGGCTACAAAAACACAGAGTACATTTAGACTCAAATGGTGGCAGAGTCCTAGATATCTGAACAGATCTTGTGGAAATCTATGGGAAAGATCATTATCGACAAGACACAGACAGTGCTGCTGTGTTGTGTTTTGTTCTCTCTGGTTTCTTGGCAGCACAATGCCCTACTATCACGTGTGGTTCAGTGCCACTCTGCTGCTGCCTGATGCTCTTCCTTTATCCATTTTGCCAGGGTGCAAAGGGCAATATGTTTTTATTATATGATGGACCAAAATAAGAATCTGATGTGCCGTAGATTATCAGAAAGCTTTTCTGTTTTTAAATTTCTAAAGGAACTCAAGCACCCATTTCTTAAGTTCTCTCTAAGCCCTTGTTTCCCCTTTCTGAAAGCAGGCAGACAGATGCCAAGTCACTTGCATGGCTGCGCTGTTTGTATTCATTAAGCCAGCTCTCACTGGAAACATTAATAAATCATTCCTCTTGACTGCTTTCTATAGGTTACTATGTTGCAGAACAACCACTTCATCTTAGAGAGAAAAGAGAAACATTGCACACAAAGGTCTGGTCATCCATTTAGCCCAAACAGGACTTTGTTAAGCTTAAAATGTTTCCAAGTCTCAGTCTCACAAAGAAACATTTATAGCTGATATTGATCCAGTAATGTTGAAAATCTCAAGGACACAGAAAAAAAAAGTCTCTGTCTAGAGAGGCATTTGTAACTTTAAAAGGTACATTTTCCTCTTCAAGTTGGTTTTGTTGTGGGGAGCTCAAACTGGAGTGTATGAATACAGTGTCTTGGATTGTGAGCTTGTGAAGGGCTTCAGAGACTGATTTGATCAATCCATGAAACCAACACATCTGAGGGCGTGTGTTGCCAACAGCTTCCAGAAGAACTGTGGAAAGAGTTCTTTGAGGGATATGATTAAGACCTGCATCTGTATGAGTTCACACAGGGTGCATTCACTCTGGCATTTTAATTTGGATCAGGAGTGTACTTTTGGCATGACTCTTCCAATAGTCTCTATTTTTACAGCACCTTGGTCTTGGAGTACATGAACTGGGTTCCTTCTGGGTGAAATTAACTGGAGAATGTGCTCCAGGAGTGCACCAGGAGGGCACCACAGCCACAAATGGACACTCAGTGCCTGAACTCACACCAGAGGTAATACCAAGTAAAGACCACCTGAAATGCATTTTTTCTGGATGTTAGCTCCAGCTGTTTCACCCTACACATCTTCTGCTGTAGTCCACAATTCTTGCCAATGTAGGCATAGTCACTGAGCAACATACTGATTTGGAATTCAGTGCATTTTTTGGGAGGTGGGAATGGCTGAACTTTTTAAAAATTTAACTCTTGACCAATAAACATAAAAATAACTATATACATCATCTTTGTATATCAATGCTGAATCTGACTAACTTATCATAGGGTAAAATCCTTATGGTACCTTCTTTTTATATAAATAACCAAGTATTATACAAATACACATATGTGCCTCTGCTTATTCACAGACACTGTTTATCAGTGCAAATATTGGTAACAAATGCTCTAGTCCAAGATGATAATGTGATGAAATTCATGGGTGTAGTATTTTTAAAAGATGAGAACAACTGTGTTCTATTTATTTATTTGCTTGTAATTACGTGACTAGAAAAAACACAGCATTTTAAAAACATGTATTGTAAAACATGCAGTCACCTTCTTTTCAGGTATAAGTTGGTGAGTGCATTTGAGTGTGTGTTTACATTAGCAGAAAAATGCAGCTTATTTCCTGTATTACAATACAGATTTTCCTGTTCACAGAGAGAATAAAGGTAATGACATGGGCCATATTTATTTAAAGTAGAAGTAGTAGTAGTAAACAAGAAGGCTGTCAGTAAGTGGAAACTAAGAACTAGTTTTGCTAACACAAGAGAGAAAATCTCATGTGAAAGAACACTGGAGGACTTGAGGCTAACTCTGGAATCTGTTATGTATTTAAAAAATACAAATGTAGATTAAAAAAAACCTGTTTTACCTCCTTACATGTTGAGCTGTACCTTTAAGCCACTTCTGCATTGCTCTGCACTTAATGGTCTGTTAGCTCTTGGCTACGGATCTTACAATGGCAAGAGGAGTCTGAGGAGAATCGCAAGGAGTAGGGAGCAATATACATTCATCTCCCTGGTACACATTTGCTATCCTGACCTTGGAAAAGCTTTGACAAAAAGGGTATTTTGATCAATCCCTCTTCTTCTCAGGCATATGTCAGTGAAATGTAAAATATTCTTCTTTGCCTTATTAAAATAGGAAACTAATTTGAAAATATTTGAAGTATGTTATTTTTCTAAGGTGTCCAGGGATTTGGGCCATATGTATTGTAAGAAAAGAAGCTGATGTAGCATGTTCAAGTGAAAAAAATCAAATTAATTCCATCATGCTGACAGTTTCTAGAGTGTTGGGTGGTCTGGTGTGGTACCTACATGAGCACTGTGGGAATCTTGTACTGATGACTCAGATTCAAGTACTACTGGCTTGCCAAGAGGAAAGTATCGAGTTGTTGATTCGCAATCTGCAGGTGGGCAAGAAACAGAAGCCTGACTTTCCTTCCAGCAGGACTGCTGTGGTTCTGTAATGTAATTCAGTTCTGAGTCCACACTGTTCAGACCCTAGCAGAATTTCCCTTCTATCACCCTGATTCACCTTTTTGGGAAATGTATTTCTGGCTGCCAGAATTACAGCTGGGACCTATGACTAGTAGCTTTTTCTTGCCACTACCTGTTGCACATACAGGAGGTGCCACAGTTCACAGCTTCTCTTTGCAGCTCCATGACAGCAACTACCCACTGAGACAGGGAGCTACGCCGCTACATTTACTTCATCAGTCTCTTGGCATTTCAACCATCGTCCGTAGCACCAGGTTATGATCTGATGGCATTCAGCTCTAAATGCTCAGTGTACACACTGATTTATACCCACCTGCAGTCATATCCATCATACCAACAGCAGCCCCACTTGTATCAGTCCATACCTCCTCATCAAAAGGGGTATATCTGAACATATATGTCCCAGGTCCCTGCAGCTGCACTAGTCAAAAGCCACCACACAAATCCTAAAGCCTGCCTTCAGCTCCTGAAGCAAAGTTCATTGCACAGCATTTCCAGGTGCCTGGCTTGGGAACCTCAAGTTCCCAGCCCTTGAAGCCTACCTGTAGTAGCAGGATCCAGACCAAGGGTCAAGGCATCCCTATGAACAACGCTTTCTGGGCACATTCCAATGCATGCAGAAGGTCGCCCACTGTCTGTCCAGTTCTATGCCCTGGTAAACCGGTCCAATTCCTTGGCAGTAGAAGTCAAGGGGTTATAACTCAGTGAGGCCACTCAAGCTAGAGGGCTGGCAATAGATTAGAGAGGATAATAGTAGGAGAAAGATTATGAAATCAGGTGGAGCCACGTGCTGCCAGGACCAAAGTCCCAGGTCCTTATTGATCCAGAAGAAATCACCCCCAGAAATTACTAGTTTCCAGGATGGTGTCTCTCCAAAGCAGGAAACACTATCATTCATATTTCAGCCCCAGAGCTTTCAGGAATCCACAGCTAAGAGAATGAATTATCTTACTATGAGCCTTTTGATGAGGAAAAGCTTCTAGTGGGGGAAGGCAGGAAGGTGGACGAGAGCTATACATTTATGTCCTGTGGAATAATACC